GGCCTAGACCCTTTTTCTGAAGAAGGGTCTAGGCCCGAAATGTCAGCTTTCCTGCTCCTCTGATGCTGCTTGGCCTGCTGTGTTCATCCAGCTCTACACCTTGTTACCTCTTTACTCTGGCGTGGCTGTCTTTGCCGCACTTGCTGCAGAGGAAGTCAATGGACTGAGAAAGTGCGCAATTGAGTGGCCTCTGTTCCCTCTGGCCGTCTTCCTGGGCAGCTGAGCTACCTGGCCCTGCTTGCCTCTTGCAATACCTTTCCAAAGAAATGGCTGCCAGAGCTTATGGCCATCAAGTCACTGTTGCCCAGTTTGTCAGTGTCAATGTGCATCAACATCATCTCTCACTTGTAGGTGTCTTTATAGATGAGGCATAGCCACTCAGCAGGTCTTGACCCAGTGATCAGTTCACTGTCCATAGTGTCTTTGGATACACAGCCCTTGTTCATCTGATGAAGGTGGCTGAGCCAGCGCAGATTATGGGCTAAGCATTGACCATATGCTTGGTGGATTTTAATACAATGTTCAAGCCAAGACTCACATTTCGAACTGATTCTGCCCAACATCAGGCCATCAAACAAATTCTCAGCAGCTTCTAGCTCTTCCATTAAAAATTAACATATGCTGTATCAACAAAGGCAAGTGTCCTCTAGACAAACAGTGACACGGGATTCAGCGGGTGGATTTCATCAAGCCAGTTTTAAATGTTTAAAAATTAATACTGAGAAAATAATGTGAAGGATGAGGAGCACAGCACAAAGAGATGACACAGCACAAGTTTGAAGAATGAGACAAGAAAAGAAATTGCTGGAGAAACTCAGCTGGTCTGGCAGCATCTGTGGCGAGAGAAACAGAGTTAACGTTTCAGGCCCAATGAGCTTTCTTCAGAACTCAATGGCGGCTAGGAAGTGGAGTTACATATACTGAAGACAGGGGATGTATAGGAGGTAAACAGTCCCCAAGCGGAAAATGGGGTGCTGTTCTTCCAGCTTGCATGGAGATTCGCTGGAGCACTGCAGCAGGCCCAAGACAGAAATGTTGGCCCTACCATCTTTTCCTAACTACCATCAGTTATTAAGAAGGGTCTCTAGGCTCAAAATGGTTAACTCTGCTTTCACTCCACAGATGCTACTAGACCTTCTGAGCTTCTCCAGCAATTTCTGTTTTTGGTTCAGGTTTCCCGCTGTTCCTTGTTTTATTTTAGAAGAATGAGAAGTGACCTCATTGAGACACATAAAACACTGTGAGATTTTGGTATGGCAGATGATGAGAGGTAGATTTCCCTGACTGTTGGATCTAGGACATGGGGCCACAGCCTCAGAATACGAGGTGAGCCATTTAGGATTGAGATGGAAGGAATTCCTTCAATCACAGAATTGTGGAGCTTTGGAATTCTCTACCTCAGAGAGCTGTGAATGCTCAGTTGCTCAGTATATTCAAGACAGACGGCAATAGATTGTTGGATACAGAAGTCATTAGGAGATATGGGGTAGTGTGGGAAGATAGGGTGGAAGTACACCATTAGTCATAATCAGATTGAAGGGCCAAATGGCCTATTCCTCCTCCTATTTCTTATGCTTTTACAGTCAAATAGAACAATTAAGATGAAGTAAATCAGGCTGTATCGATCAGGTGAAAGTTGAAGGTAAAGACCTCCTTAGCTTCACATAGCTAATTGGCTGGCTTTTAGTATTGCAAGGTTCTATGAAATTGTAAATTTATTCTGTAATTCACCAGAAATACGAACCTGAGGTAATCTTCAACACAGTTATGGGCAGCTAGTGGAAGACTCTTTAGACCAAATGGGTCTAACACACCTGTCAGCCAAGCCTTCCGAGGCCTTTGTCTGAAGCCATGCAGGCTGTGCCTGGTGGGATACTGTAAGGTTCCTTGTACTGGGTCCCAGCATTGTTTCAAGCCATTTCTCCTCACTGTGATTTGAAGCTCTGTAATGAAATCCCTCATTTCAAGGCTCTCTTTAAATGGATATGAATTGCACTCGCTACTTGTCGATCCTCTTGGAAATGGCAGAATAGACACAGGTCTGAATCATAAGGTGACCAATACAAGTGAGTCATAGTGGCCCAAAATCTCGCCCACTGTAGCTTTTATTTCCTCCTTTTGTTCCTCTGATGTTTTTATTGTTTTTGAGGAAATATGCAAGACTGGGAGCAGCTGTACAGTAAAGAACATCTTATTATTTAACATGTTAAAGGAGACTTACTGCCCACATCGGTGACTGAATAACTAAAATTGACCATCAGCCCATTATTTGAGCATCTCCTGTTTTCATCTATTTGAAAGATTGCAGCTGGAGGTGCCTGTTTCAAAGGGAATCTTATTTACCCAGTCCGACAGCTCTCCTATATCCTGAAAATGGACAGTTCTCGAGGAGCAACCCTGATATCCCGGAGGCCAATACAGGAAGATGAGGAGGCTATTCAGCCCTTTGAATTGATTGAATCCTTGAAAGTTCAGCCAGGCAATTAGATCATGGCTGATCTGGAACTCAATTTCATGTCCCTGTATGTTTGTCTTATCGCCGTATCCCTCGATACCCTCACCCGACACAGATGCATTTATCTCAATCTCATATCCTGTAGTTGTCCCAGCAACACAGCGTTCTCAGGGTGTTGGGGGGTGGGGGGTGGTGGGGGAGATGGTGGTTGTTGGTGCTGGGAACACAAGTAACTGAGAATTTCAGATTTAAATTTTTCATTTTAATATTATGTCCCATTGTTCTTGATTCCCCTAACACAGGAAATAATTTCTCCACAGCTACGGTGCTGAATCTTTCAAAATTTTAAGCACCACATCCAGACTATGCACCCCCTCCCTGCCAATCTTCTGGGAATACAGGCCAAGTTTATACAGCCTGTCCTCACAACTTAACTCTCGTGGCTCTGGTAGAACTCTAATGAATCTGCATTGCAATCCCTCCAAGGCCAGTGTATCCTTTGATTAAAAGGTTGGTTTATTTGTGCTGGATAACTGATAACCTTGCATTTATCAGCTTAAAAGATAACACTTTGCACAGAGTGATCACGTAGGTAGTGGGAGACCTCAGTGGTAAGCCGAGAATCTTGAAACATAGCTTTGGAGTCTCCGCAAAAGATGGTATTAATTTGACTCACTGTTTCCTCACAGCACTGTAGATGAACACATGTCTTTACCTGCTGTAAACTGCTATGGTTCAAGAAGGCAGCTCACCACCATCTTCTGAAGGGCAATTAGGGACAGGCAATAAATACTGTCCCAGCCAGTGACATCCACATCCCATGAACAAGAAAAGAAACCTCAGAGAAATTTTATTCTAACTTTGAAATAGGCTCTTCGCTACAAGCATTGAGATCAGAAAACCCACACAGTAGACTACCAATTGCGCAAGAAAATAGAGAACTCTTGTCAATTTTAAGATAAGGAACTCAGGCTCAGAACAGAACAATTTCTATCGAGCAGAAATTCTCCTTCCACATAGGCTCATGGATGACCTTTCTCGATGAGTTAACAGACATATCATTTGTATGATGGAAGGTGCAAAACAAAATAAAAATATCATTAAGATTGTTGGAGGTTTTGGAGTGGGGGGACACCTACTTCTCTTGCTGTATAAATTGTTACTGTGTTAGAAATTTGCCATTCATTTGTCTGACCAGATGGGTGCAGATAAAAAGCCTCAATAACCTGTCTCACTTTTCAGCAACACTCATGTGCTATCCTACCCCAAGTGACAATTTAATATAAGATTTTGAGTCTCCCAGAGCAAATGTTAAAATATTTAAAATACCTACGTGGGGTGGAAACTCAGCCTTGGCAAAAGATTTCTGGGCTGTAGCCTGTGAAGCAGAAGACTGTGGAACTCAGGGAAGTGATGGGTGAATGGAAAAATCAAGGCATCATTCATTGCCAGGTCCCTCACTCTAACTCATAGCGAAGGCAATGTTCAACACTTGACAGCCACCTCTGACCTGGGAGCACATCGCTCAGTTACCATTGGCTTCTGGACTCCAGCAGTAGGGAAAGGAACGGGAAAATTGAGCTGACAAACAGGAATTCAAACCCAGGCAGAACATGAGGCAGAAGAAGGAATGCTACAGAAATGAGACTGTTGAGCGAGGAAACACATTCGACGATACCAACCTTCTTTCTCTTTGGCAGGGATCTCGATTCAGCTGTTAGATCACATGGAGGCAGTGGACAGGGTCTGAAGCTGAAGGCCACGTCGCCACCAGAGGCTTCCTGCAGAAACAATTTCAACAGAGGGAGAAACATCGTGAATGGAAAGCAGTCCGAAAGCACGAATAGGGAAAGGCCACACTCTTTAGCCATATGAAGCAAATGACATTGTGTTTCGTGTTCCCCCAAATTTGAGTGGAAGTCAAGGGAAGGCACATGTTATAACCAAAACCTGACGGGAACAAACTGATTAAGATTGCAAACTTTGAGTTCAGTGCAAAACAATGTTGAATGCTGCAGTCATAACCTGGATTCGCCAAATGGTTCATTTCCCTATCCCGTTCGCCTTTAAAACTATTTATGTTAACTCAGCTCTAAGGCAATGGGCAGGAGATCAGTTGAGGCTCACAGCTGTAAATCATCAAGAGTGCATTGATACAAAAGCCTGCGTTGCCAAATACAAATAAAGGTAACTATTTTATTGGTGATCAAAATGTCATGTCTAATTGCACCACATTGCTGGCTTCTCTTTAAATTATTTACCACTCACAGTCAGGAAACCAATGTCAAACACTATCCCAGTTTAGCATGATTGGCAGCCTTTCAAATGGTCCTTTTTAGCATGATTTTATTACTTTGTTTGATTAATTACTAGAAGACTATCAGCTGTACTAACTCCTGTGTAACAGCCTAAAGAATTAGAGGTCAGACCATAATTGAACTAAACTTGTAGATGTGACGATTAAGTCATGACTTTCTACTTTTGGACTATGGACTGAAAAATGGACACTGCTGTAAAATGGAGATAGAACACAAGGCACTGTTTCCAGCTTTGGGAAAACAAGTGAATCCAACCGGGTGCATATGCAACAATTTTACTTTTTGGTGACATTGAGTCCAGACAAAATGGCACCATTTGTTATGGGTTCAGGAGAACTCAGTCTAGCAACAATGGCTGGTCATACAAATTCTCTAAGGAGGGTGAATCGAACAGACAGGAGCAAAGAGTTTTCTTAATGTTAGCTCCATCAACCTTTTCTCTCTGCCCCTTCTCTGTAACATTGCTCTCTCCAGCTTTCTGCTGCAACAGCAGAAATATACATTGAGAGGCGCTAAAAGAAATAATTCTAAAACACAAAGAAACAAGAAAGACCTCAGGTCCAAGCAAACAAGCAATGTATTACAGGCTGATTATTGCTGAGCAGATTACATCAAGGCATCATCAGATAATCAAAAGGATGTGTAACTAACCCATCTAGTTTTGTGATGAGGCACTGATGATACAGAGCTGTACTCTTCTGACAATTCCTTTCCCTCCACTCAAAACATTTGTGTTCATCTGTTTTTCTTCGTGTGTGCATGTGCACATTCACTTGTACTTGTGTGTATCTGTGTTGTCCAAGTAAGTGCATATGTCTGTACAAGTATGTGTGTATGAGAATTTGAAAAGGGTAAAGTTTAAGTTCCATAATTTAGAAATCCTGTTATTTTACTAGTTGTTAGCATTAAAAAAAATAAGAACTAGGAGCAGAAGTAGACAATTCAGCCCTTTAAGCCTGCTCCATTGTTCAATACGATTGTAGCTGATATCATCTCAGCCTCAACTATACTTTTTTGCCCTCTCTCCAAACTCCTTTCAATGCATTACTAATTTCAAATCTGCCTTATCTCATTCTAGTACAATGTCCCAACATACACTGCACTCTGGGATAGTGACTTCCACAGATTTGTGGCCCTTTGAGAGAAAGAATTTCTCCTCATCTGTAATTGAAATCTGCTACCCCTTTTCCTGCGACTTCATATTTCTAAAATGTTCCACAAGAGGAAACATTATTTATACGCCTACCTTGTTAATACCCTTTAGCATCGTATATACCTCAATTGGATATCCTTTCCTTTTTATAAAAGCTAAGAGAATAACAATAAATAGTTTTACTGTTACTGAAGGAATCTGGTGTGATTTGCTTCCATTCTGGGTAGCAGTTGGTCCAAGACGAAGTCAGTGATTATCCATTGCAGTTACCCAGTGATCATTCTGTAACCTGCTAGAGAAGGAGTGATGTCTACCTCAGCGCCACTTCACAAATCCATGACCTCTGACACAATGAAGGACATGGCCTGCAGGTACATGTGAACATCATCACCTCCAAGTTATCCTCCATATCACCCATCGTCCTGACCTGAAAATACCTTGCTGTTCTTTCGTAGTCCTGGATGTAAATCCAGGAACTCTTCCTAACAGCACCGTGGGTGCACCTTTACCACAGGGACTGCCGTGATTCAGGGATATGACCCAACATCACCTTTTCCTGGGAAATTTGTGACGGGCAATAAATATTGGACTTCAGGTAAACACCTCCCCCAGAAATATGGCCTGGGCTACAGTTCACAGCCTTTGACTCTTTGCCGTATTCTCTTGTGATCAATTGTACAATATTCGGGTAGAAGCCTCTTTTAAGATTCCCCTGACTGAGAAGCCTCATGGATGAGCTGTGGTTGGACCCACATTGAAGTAGCTTTACTTTTTTCTGTTATCTTGCCTCGTAAGCCGATTGGGTTCAAGGATAGGTCTTACCTGGTTTCAAGTCTTCAAGATGTTAACGGGAAAAGGCAGGGTAGATAAAGATAAACTATTTTCACTGGTTGGGGATTCTAGAACGAGGGGCATAGTCTAAACATTAGGGTCAGACCATTCAGGAGAGATTTTAGAAAGCACTTCTCTACAGAATGGGTGATAGATATTTGGAACTCTCCTTCACAGACAGCAGGCTATGCGAGATGAATTGTTAATTTAAATCAGAGATAGATATATTTTTGTTAAGCAAAGGTATTAAAGGGATGTGCATCTAAGACAGGTATATGGAGTTAGGCCACAGATCAGGCATGATCTCATTGAATGGTGGAACAAGCTTGAAGGGCTGAATGGCCTACACCTGTTCCTATGTTCCTTCCTCAGTCCAGTACCAAGCAGAAAATATTCCCATTGTTCTTGAATATGGCAATCACTAAGTGCAACCTCTGCTTCAATGACTTTATCTTGTTAATCACAAATTCATGAACTCGATGTCAGAGTCTCACATGTGCCAATTGTGCTTTCAGGGGTGCCTATAGAATCACTACAATATAACAGCAGGCCAATCAGCCCATCGAGTCCACACTGAAGAGCAGCCCACCCAGACCCACCTCCTTACCTTATCCCTGTAACCCTGTATTTCCCATGGCTAATCCCCCTAGCCTGGACACTGTGGGTAATTTAATATGGCCAATCTACCTAACCTGCACACCTTTGGACTGTGGGAGGAAACCCACACAGTCACGGGGAGAACGGCAAACTCTGCACAGACAGTTGCCTGAAGATGGAATTGAACACGGGTTCCTGGAGCTCTGAGGTAGCAGTGCTAACCACTGTGCCACTGTGCTGCCCCTGTAGTTAAGGCATGTGCAAGTAGACAGCACGCAGTTACAGGAGACTTCATGGCCACCATGCATTCACGCACTAATGGACAGGAATGAGTTCAATCAAACCTGGCATAAGGATTACTGAGGTGATTCACCACACAGGATGCATGGAGTCAGAGGTCAACCACATCCCACGTGCTCAATCGTCTGGTTGTGACCGGTGCTTCTGATTGGTCTGCCGTAAAACATAAATAGCCATGCTTCACTCAAGTTGTGGCAACTTCATTCACCAAGCATAACAGGCAGAAAGAGAATTCTCCCTTGCCTACAATCATGCAAAACACATTCATAGAATCATAGGAAAGATTTGGGACTGGTAATTCCTTTGAAGCACCAGTTTTCCAGTGGAATGAAATGGAATTTATAAATTTTTTTTTGAGAAAGAGGAACGGACGACAGCTGTCTAAGTACGAGCACCATACGGATTCTCTGTCACTATTTCCGGTTCCCCACCCTTAGAAGTGAAACTGAGGGAGTACGAAACATACTGTGAAGGTTTTGTAATATTTGAGTTGATATATTTTTAATTCATTCTTTTGTGGGATGTGGGTGTTGCTGGCAATGCCAGCATATGATGCCCACTCCTAATTGTCCTAAGTGACTTTTCAGGCCATTTCAAAGGGCAGTTAAGAGTCAACACATTTGCTTGGAACTGAGTCATGTGTCAACCCAATGGAGTAATGATCGCACATTTGCTTCCTAAAAGAATATGAGTGAACTCAATGGGACTTAAAAAAAAACAATGACAGTTGCACCATTATGAAGACTGCTTTTCAGACTTTGAACTTACTAATTACATGTAAATTCTACCAGATGCCATGGTGGAATTTGAACTCATGTCCTTGAAGGATTACAATAAAAGTTAGTACTGCAAATACTGGGAAGTCTGAAATAAGCATCTATAGAGAGAGAAATAGAGTTCATGTTTCAAGTTAACAAAGAGTAAAACAGGACTCAAAACGATAATTCTGTTTCTCTCTTCATCGATGCTGCCAGACCTGCTGAGTTTCTCCAGCACATTCTGTTTTTTCTCCCCGTAGTATTAGCCTGGGCCTCTGAGTACATTACCACTATTCCAGTGTCTCCCACTTGAGACTGAATTTCATCAAGGACTGGAGAAGACCAGCAGAGATGTAAACTCTCCTTTGTACAGATCAGTAACATGGATTGCCCTTGATAAAACAGGACGTATTTGTCCCATATTATGGTTTCACAAAGTTTTGAAACGTTTCGGACCCACGGAATTCTAAAATGAAGATAATGCTTGACTGGGCACCAATGTAGGTCATCGAGCACCAGGTGATAGGAGAATGGTATTTGGTGCAAGCTAAGACACCAAGTTTTGGAGGATCTCAAGTTTACAGAGAGTAGAATGTGGGAAATTAGCCAGGAGTGCATTGGAAATCCCCCAAGACTGTTGGAGAGTTTTAGCAGCAGAGACCAATCAAACTGCTGCTATAGAGGCAGAAACAGGAAGCTTCAGTATTGTTCAAATGTGTGGTTGGAAGCTGCGCATTCTTCGGTCGAAACAAATATTAGGGACCACTGTTGCTTTTGTACTTTCCATTCCTGATTTGGATTTAGGAACAAGTGACTGAATACTA